TCTAATAAGATGCTGGAATACGTCGCTAGGTGAGCTGATAGTTTATACCTATGGGAACTTTGCTAAACTTCAGTAAACTTGCCATCAGAGAAAAATCGATCTCGCTATTGAAAATGGCGCTAACCAAAACGAGACTAGCTGCCTTGCTATAGAAACGGTCTTATATTTTTCGGTTTTATATTTTTCGACGAATAATTAAGTAAATTATAGTACAGCCTCAGCCGCTATTTAAGCGCGAGTTCTCAAAACATTAACTTCCAAAATCTCGACTAGATTTTGTCGCCATATGTAAGTTTTACTGGCTAAAACCGTTTTACCCTCGACATTCCGCTTAGAGCATCTCCGCTCAGCAACGTCTTCATTACCAACACGTTTATTAGTGGCTTTTACCGTAAATTCCAAATCGAAGCAAAGCTATAGCAGTATGGTGTAAATACATCTTTTCATCACCTAAAGATACGCAAACAATTTTAGGAAGACTGTCAAGAATTCGACAGTCGATTGCCACCTTTTGCTTTTCCGACCGAAGTCACCATCAAAAAGGATGCAACAATTAGAAATGCAAAAAAAACTAGGATCGTTTTAGGTGTCATATCAGGCTCCTACAATCAAATCCGGGTGATTTCGAAATGAGACAGTTTTTGAACTATGCGCGGCTAACAGATGAAATTTGGCTGATAGATACCTCAAACTTGTGAGTGAAAAGAGGTCAAGTTTACCTTAGGAAAAGTAAGTTGAGAAAACGAGTCACGAAACAGCCTCGAAAATCAATGCTCAGTGAGCAAGTGTTTGTTCCTTGAGGGGCTACAAAGCTGTAGAAATTCATCAATGATTTGTGAGGCTAGTAGGCGAAGAGGCCTTACCGAAAGCACGGTACATAAATGGTGCAAGCATATCAAAAACAGAGGTCGGAGTGCTGAAGACCAGCGAAGAAATGACTTAAGCTCATGACCTGAGGTATAAGAACGCATTGCTGCAGTCGAGAGAGCTTTTCACAAAGGTAGAACCCGAGTTTATAGGCGCTGTTGGTGAAAGTTGGCATTTCAGATGTAACGAATTACAGGATTATAACCCATATACTAAAGAGGCGGAAACTAAGTAAAAAAAAATAGGTACCGCGTGAATTGAATTCAGGTCAGATAAAAATGGGCGCAGTGTATACCGCGTGCAATTTGCGAAACTTCGATCAATGAAAATCTCATCTAAAGTATACGGTCACAAAAGACACGGTTCGATCTCAACCGCCAGCCGGAGACAAACCAGGCGAGAGAATGACGTCGCCCTGTCGCTAAGAAAATTTAGCTCGGTAGCAGTGTCAAGCAGATTGGGACATCAGGCGCTGACAATATTAAGGACAAAGGTGATGGTAGTACTTACAATGGTCATCAAAGGCATCTGCTGCTATAAGATACTTGCTGAAGATGAAACGGTGAATGCAATCCGCCACCTCGAGGCCATCAAAAGATTTATTGATCATTGGTACGGCAACCGAAAGCGCACAGTCTCGTTAGTTTTCAACGATGCCAGACTTCATTGCTATATCTCAACTACTTTCTAGTTTGAGCAAAGGGGGTGTCCAACATTGGCTTCACCCCACCTATTTTCCCTAGGCTTCCCATGCCCTAAAAAGGGAATAGGTGAACAAGCAAACTCCACTACCGATTCAATTATCGATTAAATTTAATATCGATTGGAGAATACTCGAACGATACATATATGGCTGCCCGGAAGCTGTTATGGTGATAGGATATATAAAAATAAGGGAGAGTACTTTCAATACTGGTTCATAAGTTACTCAACGATAAAGTTCGCCGGATTCGCTCGTAACAGGTCGACATTTATGGCGATCGCTAACGTAAATAGAATCACGACAAAAAAACGATTGAACGTTTTAAAGAAGTAGACGTATAATAGAGTATTTTTCATTCTAATAACAATGATGATATTATAATATAAGAAATATTATAATACTTGTTTGTATATGTTCGCTGTTGCTGGTTTCCCTCCCGAATTTTGTTTTGGTCATAATTACGTATCTTATACTGTCGCCCAGTTTTTACTGCTCTACGGGGACCCATCATTCGTTTGTTCATACAACTATTATCTTACTTATACTATTTGTACTATAGTATACTATAGTATATTTGGATCATCTTATTTGCCTTGGCTCGAAAGGAGAAAGCTGCCAAAACTATCAGGGGTTGTAGCGCTCTAGAGTCCTCAGCGTACATGGCAATAAATTTAATGGACAAAAATTCAATATTCAAACATGAAAAGTATCTCCAACGAATTCAAGCTTTTTCAAGTATTTTCAAAGCATTATATAAACAGAGTAAATTATACCAATAATTAATTTCTAGTTTATAGCCACAGAACGATAACTATTTTCAATCAATTTTTTATGACTAAATTAAGAGTTACTTTCTTATTTGAACGTTGATTTTTTTTTAACCGTAACCTTTAATCCCTGTGGTCCAGGCTGTTTCGACAACTGAACACAATGTAATTCGTTGAATAGCCGAACTTCAAAAAACCGATATCTGGTGATTTGAAGTGATCATTTATGCAACAATTTCATATATTAAAACAACGATTTCTAATATCGCCAACTTGAGGTAGCCTTGTGATGCCATGGCCATTACTACCAAACGAAAAGTAGCGACTTATATTCGGCGAGAACATAGAACTAAGCCCGCACCGTCTACCACCGCCGCCGCCGCCGCTGTTGACAGCAGGTATCTTTTTTGCGTTTATGATGAATACATCGAAAATCAACGAGCCTCGAAAATTGAACGAACGAAAAGCTCATTACCTTCTTGCTAAAAGTTGGTCCGGGCACATCTGCCTATACGATTGTATTACCATTTTTACCAGTCACTTCACCGAAGGCGTTAGTTGTTAAATGTGCTGGTTTCCATAACGACTTCCGAACATAGAAGAGCATCGTGAATACTGTTCATATATTCGGATCATTGTCGTTCCCAAGGGCGTCCCAAGGCCATAAATATAAAAACTTATACGAAAATAACTGAATTTTGCTTTTTTTTTTTTTTTGCCAAAAGCAACATCATTATTTTTTGATTGACGGCAGTCAATATGGAACCTATGTAACGATACGTATGCCCGCGGCTCGCAACGTTTCCTTTCCCAAGCGTAAATAGCTTTTACCATTCTTCTTCCTTGTGTACAAATCAATGGGTCTTATGCTTGCCGTTATTACCTCCTCTTTCATTCTCACCAGTCTACGACAAACGCCTTTGCACTGTCCGCTCACCATCTTGGCTCAAAGACATAACCTGTAGTAGCAGCAGCAAGGTAACATCTTGGCAACATGCGAGAGCGGATACCAGCATTGAATGTAACTAGCAATTAAAATTTTCGGCACGATTCGCGAAAATCACGTTAAAACAAAAACGTCTGTGCGCATTGTTTTCATCTGCATAACCCTATATGAGCGGTCATTTTATGTCAGGTTTCGGAATATTGTTCAAATTATGAATTTGTAAAAAAATCTATGCACCTAGCGGGTTTCCTTGGACAACGCCCGTACACCCCTTCAGACGGAATGTAACTATTGCATATCGATTGTCGAATCTATGAACGCCCCTGGGGCGCATTAATTCAAATAGCGATTGTGATCTTAAAAGTGTTTACTTTTTGTGTCAGCGTATTTCATGCTTGTAATCGAATTCGAATGAATCAATCAATAAGCTAATATGGCTGATTCACAGGGGAGATGTGTCGAGGGTTTTTATGTAGGCGTCGGGCTCTATTTTCGGTAGAAAACAATTTTACTTACGCGAAGAGGTGTTCGGCAATTCTAAACGTTGGAGCAGCACATATAGTCGATGTGATTCTGAATGCTTATCTAAATATACATTATATTACTTCAGTTTGATGCTGCTTTACAACACGTTGCTTCGAAGTATATTGAAAATACGGTAAATGCAACTGTGGAAAGACGCTGTTGCTGCGTGGAGTTACATCATTATAATAACGTTCGCGATTTCTTATTAACTCTATTATTACTCTGTGGTATATAATTAAGATCATATCAATGATCGTTACTATCGCTTTAAATCGCATGTATATTTCTCACTACGGCCCTTTTTGTATAGTTCGCGTCGTTAAGTGTGAAAGGCCGCACCTAATTTACGCGTTTTCTGTCCGATAAACAAGTTTTCTGTTTTCAATCGAAGTACTTGGGCTAGAAAAGGAAAGTAACATTTCAATAATAGTTTGTTCATTCAACTATGTCGAAAATTTGAGACACAAGAGTCGATAAATTCAGAAAGGGCGACTTTTAACCTCCTTCTACTTTCTGGATATCTAACCTCATCAAACCTTGAGGTAACTACTAGCCAGTAATCTATTAACTAATCTGCAACAATGTCTAGCAGGCATGCAAAGTAGAACTGAGATTTACACTCTTTAATTTATGTCAGCCTAAGTACAAGATGTGACTTTTCTGCCCCGATTTCCGAATTTCTCCAGTTGTTCAATTTATTTTTTTCTAGCTTCATCAGTGTTCCAGGATGAGGGGCACATAAACCCCAAAAGTCCACGTGCAGATGGATCAGGTTCTCGCAAGATGCTTAGCTGATCATTATCAACCTATGTTGGGGGTTTATTTCACATTTTACGGTTGTTTTGCGTACATTCTCTACGGCGACTCGTCTAATAAATCAGACTCAATGCAAACGAAATATGGCGTACGCTGCTGTGATTAACCCGGTTTTTATAACTCAATCTGGCGACGATGGCTCACAAGAATGTCCAATTACACCTCACAGATGAGGTTGTAACAATGACTTAATCCAACTGAAAGACAATACTAGACGCAACAAAAATGGTAGGAAAATATTATGTTGTTGCTGACTGACGGACACTTGAACCCTAGGTTCGTTTTTTCATAGCCTTCGTAACTAACGACCTAGTATTATTTCTTCACATAAAAATAAAGATCGGTGACAAGGTTATTGCATCTACTCGCAACTCACCACTTAAGCGTATCCTTGAGGCAGTTTGATGATGCTGATGAATCTGCGGGCTCTGAGATGAGTGACTCTGTGTGATGCGTGTATCCTCCGTACCGGCTGGTAATAAACCCCCAACACTACCATAACCGGCAACATTACTTCCAGCCCCATGCGGTTTTTCTTGGGTCTGCTGTTGCGGTTGGTGGGCAGACCTATGCGTTGATGACGCACCGTTCGATGGACCTTCCGCCGCTGGCAAAATTGATCCCCCACCAACCCCACTACCTGATCCGGCTCCCACCGCCAGGTTTGCAGTTCCGCCCGTAATACTGGCGTTCATCTGCAACGACCCCCCTACTAGTGCCCCAGAACAACTCGTGGGTGTTGCAGCAGCTCCGAGTGGCGCAGTTCTCGACGAACCTTCGCTACCGGCACCGATGATGCTCATAGATGATGGTTTACCACCGTTGATGTTAATTGCCCCACCACCTGTATCGTCTCCCGGTGCAGAGGCTCCGGAAATCTTTGTTGTAGCGTTGCTACTACTTGTTGTATGTAAGCTCGCAGTACTGCCACCGCCGCTATCCCCACGCCCTCCTGCGTTCGTGTGATTAGTTCCCGTCGTTGAAACAATGCAGCCCTTGCCCTTAGCCGTGCCCCCACCGGTACACTGGTCGCTGCTGACGCTGCTGTCGTTGGTGACGTTACCACCGTTGTTCGCGGCACCGGAGGTTCCACCGGCTCCACCTCCTCCGACACCTCCGCCACCGGCGCCGCAGCCCCTAAGACTTCCGAAGTTGGGCAAATTGCTAGTGATGCTGGCGATGCTGTTAACTGTTGTATCTTGCTCATGGCACTCTGGAGGAACCTCAAGGGCGCTCGTCCAGAACTGGTGACGAAATAAGAACACTACCATCGAACGACCGAATACAGCAGCGACGTTACAGTCGTTGCGGACGCAAAGCAAACGCCGGCACCGTCCCAACAACGAAAGCAACGTGCCTTAATTCCGGCGACTGCCGTCTCTCCAACAACAGAAAATGTTGTCGGTGACTTCGGCGCTCTCGGATTAGTTCGTGGCGCTCTCGGATTAGTTCGTGGCGAGTACGGATGATGACGACTAGACCTGTTTTCAGGTACTACGGTAACCGCTTGAATGTCGACTGACCATCAATGACCACTGACAGGACGATGTCAGGAAATTGGATGTGGCAACCACAACAGCTTACAATCCATAGATCAAGCGTGTACAGCAACAACTGAGTTCTTTAGATGAACGATCAGTTGGCCGTAACGACTTCAGCGATCCTTTTCGAAATGAGCACTCATCGACTGCGAGCAGCTATTATCTGTAAATGCAGACGAGGAAAAAGGCGGTTATAAATTTTTAACACTCGAAATTATCAAGGTGCATATTGATCTCGCATAGAACTGAATGGAACACGGTAATACTTGGCGTTCAGTGTGCCGCAACTTCATCAGTAGTATACGATTATATAGTCGTTAATTCCAGAATCAACGGAACGTTGATCGACGCACGCGACCTCACTATATCTACTTATACGCAGCATTATCTCGAAACAAGAATGATTATAATGGTTTCTGTTTGTTTTTGACACGTGTTTAATATTTACATTGCAGAAGAACTCACATAAAATGGGTAACTTTTCCCTCTGCCACAGACATTTGAAATCATTAGAATTCTAGTCAATACACGACTGATTACGGTTGGCTAATGATTCACAAAGTTGAGTAAATATTTGGAGGTATGGCACATATTTGCTTAACTGCGGCTTTTAGATCTTCCGGTGTCATTGATATTCTACCCGAGACTGCATCTATTAGATAATATCCTTACAAGAAGAAGTCAATCGGCGTTAGGCCCACGGAATTGTGGGAGTACGTTTTCGTTCAGCTAATCCGCTCGGAGTATCATCTAGATGTACTTTCACATAACGGTGAAGGTATGCAAGTGTCCCATCCTTCAGAAATGTTCATTCAGAAAATAAGATTCGCCAGCTTCACCTCTCAGATACGTGACAATATTTCGTCACGCAGTTCGTTCGGATCTCAGTAAATTCAAGTGATCACCACCAGCCATCACCGTGTTATCAAAAAGGTGGCCCAGTTAATTCTCGGCTCCAAATGTTGAGTGATATTTTTTTCCTTCAAATTTCAACAATTTCATCCAAATCGCTTGTGGATTCACAGCTACCCAACAGGCGTAATTACGTCCGTTCACTGTGACATTCGATTTGAATGTTGTTTCATTGTTCCAAAGCAATGAAAACTATGTAACTTGTTTACAACTTCTTCAAATGCGGGGGGTCTGATGCGGAACTTACAACTTGATTGTCTTCGCATTTCGCTGTAAGTAGATATCTTCGTAAGCATTTCGCTATAACTCTTCAGTACTCTTTCCTAGCAGCGAAAGATCGTTAATGTTTGGGCTTTCCGCCTATGAACATACTGAACAACTCCATTTGTCTCAAACTTCGATTTTTAGCTTAGCATTCTGCTTTATTATCCTTGTACATTTTCATACTTCCAAAAACATTTCGAGATAAACTTTCTTTCTTGTTTAAAAGTTCCCTTAGGGCGACTAATATTACTTAAGGAAAACGAAAGCGAAAGGAAAACGTCAGAAGATCATGACCTGTTGAACAGTGTATACACCTTACAGAGTACTCTGAACTAATTCTAAGATGAATTTGTATACTATCATTAATATAGCAGCTCGAAGAGCGTTTCCTACCATTTCTATTCAAGCAGGTCTTCAAATGCTGGTCAGGTCGATATGTACTATTGCTCTTGTAGCAGTGATCAAATGGAACCATCGGTACAAACGTAAAGCAAGCTCAAGCGACGCACTCATCGCGCGCCGACGTCTGGCCCGCGTTGTTTCAAATAGGCATTGGAATAGAGTAGCGCTGGGAGCAGCTATTGACGGAGGCCGTTCATCGCGTAACTAATCAACTGATAATCAGTAACGAAAAAGCATCGTATTAACATGGCCGTCGGCTGCTTAAAGCATCTCGCCATGACACCGCCTACACTTCTGTTTGAGTCGCATTCTGTTACGTTGCTTCGTATGTTAGCGAGAATGAAGGAGCGATATGAATAGAATACATTAGAAGAGATAGCAGCAAACATTGTCAGCTGTGACTAAAGACCGAGAAAGGAAACGGTTCAGTTTGTACTCCTGCACCACACAGTTATGGCCTACGCCATTATGATGAAAGCAGACTAGATTGTTGAAGGTAGTTTTTTTTTTTAGCCAGTCGCTCACTTCTGACGAACTACGATAACAAGCACAAAAATAAGCGCTAGCAACAGACATGGTCAGGAAACGGGCATTTTGGTTATGAAAAATACTGCACAGACAACTTTAGTAAAAGAGACATTCTCCTAGCCAGTGGCAAGTTTGAAAATGCTTTTCTTTGATGTACGCTGGTATATCTGCTCCCTTCTTAAAAATCCATCCACGTAGCCCGTCTTGAATTTTTGGCAAAGATAAAAAAAAAGCCATGAACTGTATATAACATTCATTGGATGCCTGTGACTAGCTGCATGTTTATTAAACGTGGCCCATAGCGTATCAGCGTTATGCATCAGCAACATGCTTAGGACAGACAGACAGACAAACAACGGTAAACTCACCGGTGAAACCCATTGGCTAAGTCCAACAGCTGCCGGGAATGGGTTCCCTATTAATGGTCATTGCGCGCTACCTTAGTGAACGACCTTGTCATCGCTAAAATTGGTTTGAAACTTTACAACTGGTCCCTATATTATTTCGTATACCTAGTGCGTGCACCTACTTCAAGGGTTTAGACAATAAAATAGTACAAACGGGTCTCCACACACCGTTGATTTGCGCTGACCTGCCACAGCATAGCAGCAGGAGCAGCCGTTCCTATGGTAGAACAGTGTCTTACCACCACGTTACTATTGTTATGGATATCATTGCAGTCATTTTCATCGGTATCATAAAGCCATCCATTAACATCGTCCGTGGCGTAGTCATCCTTTTCAGAAAAGTCTTCAGCTACTGCTCTACAGTATCAAGCACGTAAGCACGCATTTAGTATGGACGAAAACGGAATCACTGACATTGTCACCACGGCCGCGAGCACCAGCAACGAGATCACCACGTTGCCTAACAAACGAGCATGCACCACAGTAACGGCAGCACCATCGTCAGAGGGCTAAGAGATCTCCCGACAGTAGCAGCATGGCGACAAGATCACCTGGGTAAGGCTGGTCGCGATAATGATGGCGACGACGATACACCCAGGCCAGGCGACAGCGCTGCGCGTTCGCGTTCATCTCGTCTCCAACGGCAACATCAGCGATCACCTAGCCCCACTGTCCTGCTGCTGCGCATATTCTTCCCCGCAGCAGCCGTCCAACCAGACGCCCAACTATTCAACTAATCAAACACGCAATGAACAAACCAGCCAGCGATAGAGACATAAGCGACACCCAATTGTCATACAGGCGACACCAACGCGGTGTTGTAGTCTGCAAGGGCGGCATGGCGTCGACGAGGCTCTACAATTATATATGTATATATGCAACAAACGACAGAATAACTGTAGTCATCGGCGATGAAAGAGGAACCCTTCGAATATTTGGTCAGCTGTTTGCGACCGATGCTCATGATACAACATGTTCCATGCAATTAGGTCGCAATAGCTGGAATCGCCATTTATTTATGATGTAGACACAGGCGCGTCTACAACACTTTCAGCTTACTGGTTTCATTTGAAGAAACTATAACCAACCACTGAATGATAATCCCGTACTTGTACAAAAATAGCACATTTATTAAAATTCTTCGGCTTTTCAGAGACCTTCAATAGAAGAAGCAACATTTATATTGTCATACAACGACTTAGAAACATTTAGAAATGTTGTTGTTGAATTTTTTTCTTTTCAAGTTAGCGTTTTTATGAGTAAACGAACAGTAAAATGTTATTAACGTTACCTAACAAATACTGAGAATGCTAGTATATAGAATGAAGTTTTTAGCCGACTCGTACTCGATATGCTGCAAGGTAACCTATTGTCCTACGCTTACTTACGATACAACAGTTCTAAATAGACCTGACAAATCCAAGAAGTACTTATAAATTCCATGCCACGCCTTGCTTCGGATCATGGAGACGCATGATAATAGGAATAGTTGTTAAAGTTCGTTTTGAAGACTGGCCACAAGGCCTGAGTGCCAAACTCTGTACATATACAAACACCGCCAAAAAAATCTATATAGCACAAGCAATAAGCCTCGAAACTCTAACTTTCATCTAGGAGTGGTTTCTAGGCGGCCTCGCCGAGGTTTGTGGTGACGTTCCTTTGTCACCAAGTCGAGGCGTCCCCAAATTCCATTATCTTATTATTGTACTTTTGGCAATTGAGAGCTGTTATTATCCTGTTACCCATTTCGGTCACGGACATCTGCATCATCCTGGTTAAAATCAGTTTTTCCTATTACGGTTTTTCTTATTACCCTATCTGTCCGCTCAGGGGCCGAAAAAAAAATGTTGAAATCTTGTCAGCAGATCATTTTAAAGTAGCTTTGAGCAATGCATAAACCCTCGATTTATCACGTAGTTATATTTATTTAGTTAGGTACTGGGTCACAATAGCATAGCCGCTTGCCTAAACCTGTTACCTAATTCAAAGGCCTACGTCGAGATGACTAACACTGCTTTTCTAAAGTATCTGTAGCCGTACCATACACCATAGAGCTATCTTTTTCTGATTCTACGGCCCAAGTTAAATTCTAACATCGTACAATGCCCAGAAGCCAGGAGATGCAGGGATGTATATTAACTTTCCCCCTCAAATTTTATCATTTCTTTGGTGCGCCCTTCCTAGATGAGCTTCATGGTCTATAGCTTCCTTTGAACCGGCCGCTTCAACCTTAATATGATATTCCGATAGCCATCTTCATTTAATCTCAATTGAAGTATAACGCGCTTACACAACGGAGCCGAAAATAGTTACAGGCGCAGACCCAGGCTGTCCTGGTATTTCGAAACGACGAATGTACAAGACATGCGGCTCAGAGTTGGTCTTGCGCACGCATAGGAATCTCTGATTAACATACCCTCATAAGCGACACTTCGTATACGAACTAAAATATTTCTTTCATTGCCACAACCCTCTCAGCAATGTCTCTAAACAGCGGACCAGAGGGAAAAACCAAAGTGGGGCTTCAACGATATATAAAAAGATGTGCTAAAGCTCAATAAATGACAGTCGTACATAATTACAGGAACCGGCCTATTTGTTCACGGCTTCCCCAAGCTTTCAGTTATTAGATCCGTGAACTCTACTGTTT